CAAATGTTTTTATCTAATGTAAAAGTCAGCACCAAATCTGGCAGTCCTGATTTCACATAAACATGAAACATGATCTGGAAACTAAAGAGGGGAAAAAAGCGGCCATACTTCTGACTAACTAAATTAGAATGTGTGCAAGTATGAGCCAGACATTTGCATGTCTTAATGGCTCCTTGAGTAATAAAAGGACAGCCAGGCTGAGAAACACTGAATTAAGAAAAAGAGGTTTAAAATTATCTACTTGTAATTTTGAAATTTGTGTCCTAATAAAAAAATATGTGGAAAAGTAGTGAAATACTTTGCAAGACTGTACTATAATGATATGTTGCCTTTAAATGTTTGATAGAAATCATACTGTGTTTTTCTAGCTTTGTAAAAGCCTCACGGTTTTACCCACATTTGCAGATGACTGCACTGGACAGTCCTCAAGGCTGACGTCTGTGGCTGTGCTGTGGTACCTAGTAACTAGTGTGACTGATTTCTCCTAATTGAGAAATCATCTGCTATCCCCTCCACCTCTCCAGTGTGCCACAGTGACAGCTCCAAAGACATAACAAGAAAAAGGAGGGAAAGAGGAAAAGAAAGGTGATAACTGCTCTTTATTGACACACACACCGACTCGTCTTTCCTTCCATAATTTCTAATTTAATTCCAAAGACAGAGCTGGAACTTTCCAGTTCAATGATCAAAGGACTCTGCATTCACCACAAATTCACAGACCCACATAGTGGCTTGGGCCATGCGCTGTGGTGAATGAATAATCCCCGAATTTCTTCTCTGTGGGCATCATTATCAGGCGACTTACAGAATGGCGCTGTTCTAAACAAGCCCACATTGGGGCAGTTATTTGAAGAGCTATGGGAAGGAACAAATAAAACACAGGTTGGAAAACATAAAACTTGCAGCTCACTCTGAAAAGATTCTTGGTAACCACAGCCATTTTGTAGCTCTTGATTCTGCAGTAGGCATGGGTTCTGTCTGACTCTCTGCTGCTGTACCTCTAACCAGTACAGAAGGAACTGTGAGTACTTATACACGATGGGGAGACTGGACAGGAGAGCTAGTTGTTAGCTGGTCAACGTTAAGTACAGCCACTAGATTACACAGTCCCAAATATACAGACATGTTGTTAAAAAAAAAAAAAAGTCCTAAAACTCACCTTTCAATTTGTACTGCTGGGCAGCTTGCTACATTATCAACGAAGATCCAAAGCCGTTCTTATTTTACAGTGAGCTAATTCTGTAAACTCATGGTGGTGTTTTGTTTCTACTTCCCATTAATTCCAAATACTGTGGAGAAAATAATAAATGACCGCAAGAAAAGAGCCCACTAAAAATGTAAGTCTTCAAGAACAGCAAACGTACTTAGTTGTTCAGTTAATTTATAGATTATCTCTGAATCACTAAATTATACATGTTTAAAGAATGACACCCAGGAGTCACATGTAGTTGAGATTTTAAAATTCTCTTTTCCTCTAAGATGTGAATGTGATGATCATTTTGTAAGTTTCTGAAGACCTTATAAGGATGCTAAAAAAAAAAAAGATTGTTTTAACTGGATTTATCTTTCAAAATCTAAACACTAGTCAACTGAAGGTGTCACAGTCAACCTGTAACACACTTTAGTGATCAGCTCCAGGGCTCTGTGGATGTCCTCTATTTCTACCATCTCTCTTCTGAGACTCAGAATCCCATGAGTGAGAGGTGAAAGGCAACTGGTCTCCTGCTTGCTGCCCAGCCTGTGAGCACTCACTCAGGAACTGAGACTGAACTGAGCCTTACATATTTGCGGGAGGGTCGGGAGTCTGAAAAATCCCTCTGTATTTATAACTTCGAAGGACATGCGTTTCACTGGCATTTCACGTGGCTTTGTTTTTATACTCTTTGGATGCAGAAGGCGCTTGAGAGCCGTCCAAGTAATTCTGTGATGGTCAAAGTCATGTTCACAAAACTTTCCTTTACTTATGAAATATTCCCAGCTGTGAACCCTGAGGAAGTTTTTACGTAGTAACGGCTTCAAACACACACACACACTCATTGTTATAAAAAGTTTCCAAGTACTTTAACTATAACTAAGAAGATCTATTAATTTTGAAAGGAAGTATGAGCGTACACTTTTAAAATAAAACGTAACCTAGTAATTCTGAGACTTTCTGGGCCTTCCAAGTCAATGACTTTAAATGAATTTACATCTTCCAAAATCCCGATTACCATAAAAAATGTGTACGTGGTAAGAGCCAAATCCTTTATAGTTACTATAGTCATATAAAATGCATGACTGCATGTCAGATTTCCAGATATTGTTAGATGTCTTAAAACAGATTCTTAAAATAGGACTGTTGATTTTAATTGGAACGAAACTATGAAACAAGTAACTTTCCTGCCATGGAACTGTCTACAGGTGGGATTTCCCTCCCTTCAGTGTGTGGTGAACACTCACAACAATCACTGGTGTAGAGCAGAAGATGAAAGTTGTCAAGAAAATTGGACATAATTAGTCAGTGCCAGCTAAGTGATGAAAATGAGACTTAATAAAATTAGCAGTGCTTCCCCCTCTGAGTAACTCATAAACGTCTGTATTACAGGACCACCTATTCAAAAGTCATGTATTTTAATTTTCAAAGCAAAAAAAAAAGTTTCTAAAAAATAGAGTCAATATTAAAAAGTACTGAAAACAAAACATGAATCCACTTTTTTAGAAAAGTTAGCCGAAGTTAAGCAGCACACGAGAAAGTAAGTCAGGGAGACAATAAAGACAAAAGTGCCAAGAGTTGACTGTCAGAACCCGTCACATTAGGACATTATAGACCTCTTCGGGTAACACAAGTTTTACAGTTTTCTTGTAAAAAGCACGGAACAGAGTGGCAAGTGCTTTCCAAAGACTGCGAACGGGATTATTCGAAACCAATTTGAAATAGCTGTTTGTCGGAGATGTTATGAATTCTCACTTCTTTTAATAAGGTTTCCGAGAATTCTGGAATTTCCTGAACCACAGCGTGTAGCAGGGAGGGGGCTTATCTCAGCACTGTGGTTGTTTACAAGGCTCTTTTCCGAACTGGGTGCTTTTTCTACCCGAGAGTTCCCGGTGCAGCTGGGCAAGGGAGGCGGCACGGGCAGCGGCCGAGTAGCCCCCTCCGGGGACACGCGCTCCGGTGACACGCGGCCAGGTTAAGGAACCCATTCTTTCCCGGCTTCAAAGGGATCGGTGGCCGGAGGAGCTCGCGGGCCCGGTGGATCTGCCCGGTCCCCGGTTCGGGTGCTCCAGGTGGACCCCCCCCCCCGATGACCGGGCAGAGACGCGCGGGGCGAGCAAAGTGAGCAAGCGGCGGTCACCCCGGCGGCTCCGTCGAGTCCAGGGCGAGCGCGGCTGGCGGGAAGCCCGAGCCGCGTGCGCTCGCAGGAGGGTGTGCGGCGCGGGGTCCGCACGCGCGGGCGGGGCCGGCTCGGGGAGGGCGTGCCGGGGGCGTGGCGCGAGGTGTCCCGGCCCGGAGCCCCGCGCGGCGGGCGGGCGGGCGAGCGAACCGGCGAACGGGCGGCGGTGGGCGGACCCCGGGGCAGGCGGCGCGGCGCCACCAGCGGTTCCCCGGCTCCCGCTCTCCCGGCCGCCAAGAACGAGCCGCCGTGGGCGGGGCCTGCGGTGATTGGCGGGCGGGCGGGGAGGTCGGAAGTACTTTGTTTTTTATGCTAATGAGGGAGTGGGGCTTGTCCGTATTTACGTTGAGGCGGGAGCCGCCGCCCTTCATTCACCCACATGGTCCTTCGAGGTGCCGCCGCCGCCGCCCGGCCTGCGCCTTCGCGCCACTTCGCGCCCGGCGGCGAGGCCGAGGGGTGGGGTGAGGGGGGACGGTGCCCCGCGTCCCTCCACGGAGCCCCCGATCGCGGCCCGGGGCCGGCCACGCCGCACCCCCCACTCCCGGCCTGGGGCCTCGGGCCGTAGTAGTGGCGCGGAGGCTGGCGAAGATGGTGGCGGCTGCTCCGGTGAGTGCGCCCGCCCGGCCGCCGGCTCGGGAAAAGGAAACCTGTTGTGCGCTCCCCGGCCGGCACGGCGGCGGGGAGGGGCGGGACGGCCGGGGTCGGGGCGATCGCGGATCGGGGGGATCGAGGAGGGAGGGGGTGTCGGGCCGTTGGGCGCCGGCGTGCCCGGGGCGGCCGTCCTGGCTCGCACGCGGGCCGGTTGGGGCCCGAGGGGGCGGCGGCCCCGGAGCCCGGCGGGGGCCTGCCCGGCGCACACAATGGCCCTGGGGAGGGTGGGCACGAGGCCGCCCGCCGGTCCCGGGCGCCTCGGGGGCCGGGCGGGGTGCGCGGTGGCCGTGCGGGCAAAGTTTCTCCCGGGGGCGAGAGTTAAAGCGCCTGCAGAACAAAGCGGCGGCGGCACATGGGGCAGGCCGCGGGCCGGGAGGGGGCGCGCCCACGAGGAACCTGCGGGCGGGCGAGCGAGCGGCGTGGGCGGGAGGGCCCCGAAACTTTGTGCGCGCCCGAGCGGGCGCCGGGACGCGGGGGCCACGGGGTTCGGGCGCCACCCGCGCGCTCCGCGTGGGCTTTTGTGTGCCACCGCGTGGGCAGCTCCATCTAGTGCGGGGTGGCGCCCCATTGGCCCCGCCGGGGTCCCCCTCCCCCGCCAGGTCCCGGCTCGCCCCGGCGACGGCGTGGAGCCGGGACGGGGCGCTGGCTGGCGAGCGCGGCGCGGGAGGGCTGGGCGGGCTCGGCAGGAGCGGCGGCCCCGCCGCCATGTTCCTCCTGCGGGGCGGGCCGCGCAGCGCCGCGCGCGCCGAGGGCGGGGGACATGGCGGCGACTGCGCGCCGCCCGCCGCCGATTGTTCCCGGCGCAGGCCTCGGGCCGCGTGCGGCGAGCCCGGCGGACGGACCCCCTTTCCCTCGGAGCCCCGATCGGGGGCCCGCGCGGGGCACAAAGGACGGCCGGCGTGTCCGGAGCCTCACTCCGCCCGGGCCTCGCCGCCGCTCGTCGCGCAGCCGCCCAGGGGCGGGCGGGGGGGGGGGGACTCGGCGCGTCCGGCTCTGACCTGCCGCCCCCTGGCGGCCGCGCGTGGACCCGCTGGCCCCCTTGTGCGACATGTGCTGCTGCCGGCCCGGGCTCCATGAGCGTGGCGGGCACTTGGCAGTGTGGGGTGTTCACCCTGTCCGATTTTCTCTTGATAAGCTGGCTTGAGGGGGAAAGAACCGGAGAGGGGAGCGGGCTGGTGGCTTCTGTGGGACCGGGAGAGGAGGAAATTAGCAACGTGGCCACGAGGATCACAGCAGTTGGGGAAACAACTCTTTATCCCGGCTTGCAGCCACGAGGTCTTGATGGGGGGAGGGGTGGTGAAGAATGGTCCCTCGGTCGCTCTTTTCCTCTGGTTTGAGCTACTGCCCCGTAGAGTTGAAGGTTGATGGTGGTCGTATGAACAGTATTTAAGGGAACACATTAATTCATGCACGGATATTTGACTCTTTGTAATTTTTCAACTTTATCCTCTTGTTACCGTTTTTTACCCAATACATTGTTGGCCTGCCTCTGTTCTTGATTTTGTTTTTTGCTTTTGCAAATGGATGGGATTCTCATTTACGAACGATAGAAATGAGCACATTGGAATAGGGTGTAGAAAGTGGTAGTAATTCTGAGCAAATGAGCTTATCCTTTCTCTGTCTCACCCCCTCCCCCCAACCCTAGTCATACACGTGGACCTAGCAGCACCCGAGGCTTTACCCAAGGATACTTGCAGAGAAGGAAGTTTGCCTGGTTGGGTAAGTATATTCCGATTTTTTACTTACTTTTTATAAAGAGAATAGTTTTTACTTTTGCCTTGGAGTTTTAAAGTATGAAATAAGTGCATTTGGGGTTTTGTCAAGTTTCTACAAAAAGTGTGGATGAGCTAGATTTTAAGTAAACCTACAGTAGTTTTTGGAAACTGTTTTCAACATAGTTGCAGGCCCTTTAAGTTAGATTGATAAAGTAGATCTAATTTGGGGTGGTATACAAGATTTAACTTTTTACATTGTATAACTAATAAACTTAAGTAAATAAACAGTAATTGTGTTAATTATTTTGTCAAGTGTCTGCCCATTTGGAGGACAGAAGAAAAGAAATCGCTGCCTTTTGGATCTGGAGTTTTCCTCTAAAAGGTACTGACAAGTGCAGCTGCCCTGCTGATGATGGTTCTCATTGGGGTATAGCATGATTTTTGTGGACTTGGGAAACCCTAGTGTAAGGAAGAGCCAACATCAACATGTACAATTTGGACCCTTGTGCTTTTAGATGATTTTTCTCTTGTTGGATTTAAGCTGAAATGTATGTTTGTCACAGGTGTTAGAGCTTTGGGCTGTTCTTCTAATTATTTATTTCAAATTTAGCAGGACTAAAGAGAACACCACCTTGAGACCCTGAAGAGTGACCAGTCAGAATAATGTCAAAGTGCTTACAGTGCAGGTAGTGATATGCGCATCTACTGCAGTGAAGGCACTTGTAGCATTATGGTGACAGCTGCCTCGGAGGGAGCCAAGGTGGGCCTGGAGTCACAGTGAGGGCTGCTGGTGCTGCTGAGTGCTTTTTGTTCTAAGGTGCATCTAGTGCAGATAGTGAAGTAGACTAGCATCTACTGCCCTAAGTGCTCCTTCTGGCATAAGAAGTTATGTCCTCACCTAATCCGAGCCAAGCAAGCATGTAGGGGTCTTAATAGTTTTGTGTGCAGCCCTCTGTTAGTTTTGCATAGTTGCACTACAAGAAGAATGTAGTTGTGCAAATCTATGCAAAACTGATGGTGGCCTGCTATTTACTTCAAGTGTTGTTGTGTTTTCCTCTTTTTTTTTTTTTTTTTAACTAATTCTGTACTTTTATTGTGTCGATGTAGACCCTGCGTGGTGTGTGATGACAGCTTCCGTAGCACTAAAGTGCTTATAGTGCAGGTAGTGTCTAGCCATCTACTGCATTACGAGCACTTCCAGTACTGCCAGCTGTAGAGCTCCAGCCTCGGCCTTCGCCCACTCACACTGTCCTGGTACTGAGCACTGGTCTATGGTTAGTTTTGCAGGTTTGCATCCAGCTGTATAATACTCTGCTGTGCAAATCCATGCAAAACTGACTGTGGTGGTGACAAGTCTGTAGAAAATGAGGGAAACTCAAACCCCTTTCTACACAGGTCGGGATTTGTCGCAATGCTGTGTTTCTGTGTGGTATTGCACTTGTCCCGGCCTGTTGAGTTTGGTGGGGATTGTGACCAGAAGATGTGAAATTAATATTGCTGAAGATGCCGGTTTCCACTGTAAAGAGATTGTGTGAACTCTTTGTAACTTCTGTTGCTTTCACTGGTGTAAAACTTATGAAGGTGTTTTGGATTTTTTTTTTATTATTGTTAATTAGGTTTGTCTTTTACTAAGTCATTTCACCTTGGGGTTTGTATCTCAGACATTTTTGCGGGCTTACACGCACGGGTACCCAGTATGATAGCGTTAGAATGGTGCCCTTTGCTGACTTGGAGTCTAGAGGATCCCAGGGCTGTGTTACTCAAACACTATTCAACTGGATTGATGGGAGTTACGAAAACATTTTCTTTTAATCTCTGTGTAGAGTTTTCCTGTTACACCAGGTGAGGTGTTTTCTGATGGTGCTGTTTCCCCGTATGTGGTCTTGGGAGCACTGGGGAACAGGCTTCAGCTCTGTTGAGTGCATACCCTGTTTAAGGGAAAGATGACAAGCTCATGACAACAGAGTGACAGGTGTGCCTGCTTTCCTGCTGCCCTGGAGTGTCGTGTCCTGCCATTGACAGCAGAGAAAGTTTTCTCCAAGTTTCCTGTTGGAGCTCCCTCTGTCTAGATTTGGGCAGCACAGTTGGTTCCAGCTGTGTGAATAAATATCATTGGAATAAAACTTAAAGAATAGTAAACTTGGTAAGGGTGAGCTCATAAACCAGATCTAAGGTAATAGTACTTAAGCAAGTATATCACCTTGGAAAAAGTATTATCTTAAAAATTTGGAATTGTCGTAGCCTTTGTAGTAGACCACCTAGAGTTTAAGTTTTCCATCTCTTAAGTGCTACTTTTTAAAAGAAATGTAAGAAGCTTAGTCTTGGATTCCTGAGCAGCAAGGTAAGGACTGAAGATGGAGGGTGACTGTAAGATGCATGTATGTTCAGGGTAAAGGGCGATCAGAATTGTACAGTTATTAATACAAAGGGAACGTGCCTTTAACCTGAGTATTGAGCTTTATGAGGTGAAGAAAGTGGAGACCAATCCTTTAAAATGATGAGTTCTATAATATGACATTATTCATGTGTTCTATAAGGGGTCTGTTGATTGTGTTCTAAAATTTTGATATGTTCATCTTTAAAAGTAGGAAGTCTGCTGGGTGCTTTTTTACATATGCTAAGTTACAAGTTTAAAACTAATGTGATCTTAAATTAGTATCCTTGGATGCTGAGTCTGTGTCATGGTATTTTTGTTCAATGTTCTTCACTAGATTGTATTCTAGCAAAGCAATTTGTTTCTCTCGGGTCCCACAGTGAAGTTAAGTTTTTTCCAAGTATTTTTTAATTCTCCTTTAAGTTCGGGGGTACATAGGAACATGAACAGAGCTGTGTAAACCTTGGTTCAACAGATAGGGTGTCTTACTACTAATTTAAAAACAGTTTTGCTCTTACACTTTGGTCTTGTAGCTTAGGCCTATAGGCATTCAGGAAAGAGGGAACATGTAGTTTTCTTGTATGTTACATGTAGATAGTTGTTAAATTTACCCTCTATTAGGAAGGAACCACTGTGAGACTGTAAAAATCCTTACTAAGTGTTGACTTAACTAAAAGTCCCTGAGATGTTCATTTTAACAGGCCAGCCTAGGCCAGGCAACCATCTGGACTTTTCACTGTGCATGGTTTGAAGAGTCAGTGCAACCTGCAGCTGTCTGGAGAAAGAGCAAGTCACTGTCACTAAAAACCTGTTGTATGTATAATGAAATTCTGTTGTGTAACTGATAACGCTATGTAGTTTGTCTGCCTTCATGCAGCTTTCCAGTTTATTTTTGTATAAATGTCTGCTTTGCTCTCTGCTCGGTCAGAATTGATGTGCTTTTTCATTAGACTGAATGGTTATATCATTGCCAGTTTTGTATAGGATCTATTTAGAGGGCCCTGTGAGTTTTAAAGCATAGGAACATGGTTGCCGGGGTTTGAGTGCGTGAGTCATCAGACATGGGCAGAACATGGAGCCTGCAGAGTGCTGCTCAGGTTCCTTTGATGCTAAATAAACACTGTGTTAAATTTTCATTTCTTGTACCTGATGAGCATGTTGAAATAAAGTTAACTTGTGGCACTGGTGATATTGTATCTTTATTTCCCTACAAGTAACCTAGTCATTTTCCCTCTTGACGGCGTGGGGACCAGTCTTTAATGGTAGACTTTGTATTTTTGTTTTAATTTTACAGGTATTTACCATGATAGACAGCAGAGGGAAATAGCTCACGTTTTTAGTTGTCTAATGCACATTCCTAATTGAGATAGGTCATTACTTAGATAAATGGAATGCTGCTAGCAGGCTAGAGACTAGGACTTGTCGGAGAGACTTGTCTGTTCTGGAACACGATGCGTAGGTAAATACAGTCAACAGAATCATACACTTGGTTTTACTGCACAGATAGCTTGTGCAGTGAATGAGTAAGGATGAATGCAGTATTGATTGTCTGGTTATTAAGACAAATGTAACCAGTATATCCTGAGTTGTCTTACTCATGAGCCATCAGCACACTTGAAGCCATGCCTTTTGAGCTTACAGGCAAGGTTTTGTGGTTTCCGTGTAGAATTCTTTATGGACATAGCAAGTCATGTTTTTCCATAACTTGAGATAGTAATGTTTGGTTTTCCCCCATCAACAGCAGTTAGTATAATTAGAAATTGCACTTAATTACTTCATTTCCATCTTACCAATCCAATCAATTTGAGCTTTAATGTCTAAAGTTTACATGGTGTTTTACATGATACTGCTTTTTGTTTTCCCTGGCCCCAAACTTTACATCTGTACCCTCTTCTCACGTGGTAGCTAAAGCTTTAGAGTGCATGGTAGATTTTTTTTTTCCAGCGTGTGAACTCTGCATTCCAGTGTGCACATCCATCCTCTGCCTTTCCCTCTTCAGACAGTTTTCATGGTAAACGTGCTCTTAATCAGTCTAGCTCCTTTCTGCTTTGTATGTTAGAGCACAGTCTCTACAGAAAAGAATAAGTTACCTGGCATATTCGAATTGAAGAATTTGAGGTACTTTTCCAAGCCTCCTTTGCCATCTTCATTTCTAGAGATGGAATGTGGTCCTGCTTCCAGTGTACAGTGGTAATATGTAAACCATGAGCCTGGTGACTTGAAGATACGGTCCATTGGTGCTCAGTATGTAAACCACCTGCTGTGTAGAGCCCACAAACAGCTACTAGGTAGAAGTGCCCATGTATTAGTGCTGCTGGGGTGCCAAGAATCTGAGGCAGTTAACTAAATCGTGACTCTGCAAAAGTAAGTTGTATTGGGGCACATGGGCAAATACCTGATTTGAAAGTGTAAAGTGTTGGTGCCTGTTAGAAAAGGATAGCTTGGCAGAGGTGATTAGCATTTCCTCATGATCAGAAAAGTACAATAGTACTTGGTATTTTCGGGGACTTGAATTTGGCTTGAACCCTTAGCAGACTTAATGTTGAGGTGGTTTAGGGGCTTTGTTGCCTGGAGAACATAAGACTAGAATAATCCAGTGGCTAGGCTCTCTTTAATAGCCTCTCCCCAAGTGCTGGGATTAAAGTCTTGTGCCACCACTGCCCAGGAGGTTTCTCAAATCTGTATTTAGGACCTGAGCATAGTGTTTAGTGGGGGGAAGCTTTGTACAACATAGTTGGATTGTTCATTCGCATTCCATTTAGTCCACTTTGTTAAACTGCTCAGTAGTGCTATCCACTGAAACATGATCAACCTACCTACCAAAAGTCATACCATCCCGGAAGCCTTAGCTCCTCAGTTTGGGATTGCTGCTCAGGAGTCGAGGCCAGCCTCAACTACATGGTAAATTCTGAACTGTATGGGACCCTCAACCCAAAATGCAACCACAACCTCGAGTTCTATGGGCATCAGTTTTCCCTCTGTATTAAACACTGTCAATGTTGGTGTGTGTGGGGGGGGGTCTTCCACAGGTAGCACTTAGTAACAAAGCAGAATTTCAGCTTTTTTCTTTTTGAGGTAAGTGTATCTTAAAATGTGAAGTACCTTCACAAATTACAAAATTACAGCAAATGATTTTTTTTTTGGCACATTTGAGTTGTTTACCCACATCAGTAACAAGCACAGGTTTTCCCATGTGTAATATTTAACCAGCTTGCTTCTGGGGAGTCTTAATCAGATTCACTGAGACATTTGATCTCTTAAACTGGAATCTCAGGCAGAGGCTTTGAAGAGTTTCTGATGCTATTGAATACAGATCACTTCCTCAGGTTGTTTGAATAGTTACAGATGAGAAATCCTGGTCAGAGAAATAGACCTGTGTGGGCTGCAGCTCACAAGGATTCTGGTTGGGAGGGAGGGGAGGGTTTAGGTGGACCGACCTGAGCACAGCTTACACAGTCTACAGATATCGTCACCTACCCATAGTGTGCTTGCCCGCTAGTGGGCCTCCTGTGTCCTGTAGGAGAGGCCTCTGCTTCCTTCTCAAGTCACCCTATTGTTTTAGAGAAAGTGTTTAGTACATGCTTAGGTTGTTTCGTCAAGACTTCACACACATTTAGAGTTTAAAGCTACAGTTTGCAGCTCTTTGGGTCAGAAGTCTTGAGGGAGATCTCACTAGTTTTGGCCATTCAAAGGGGAACGGTATCAAGAGGCTTTGTTTCTGAATCTCTAGGGGATCTGGATTCTTGTCGTGCAGTCTACCAACTATTTCTTGGCGTCCTCTTGGGACCCAGCAATAACAGTTGGAATCCTTACACATGTATCTCCTACCCACTCAGATTCAGGGATCTTTGAGATTACATTGGGCTTTCCCAGGTGCTACCTATGTTTTTATGGCCAGTCAGTTGACCTTGATTCCATCTGCCTCCTCAACATTGCTGTGTGGTGCAGTTTCAGGTTCCAGGGATAATACTTGTATATTTGCCTATTACCACAACCTCTTGTTTTTGTTTTTGCTTTGGAACCATGGCGATTTTAAATGTACACGTAGTCCTAGGCCTTTGTAACTCCTGAGGATTTAGACTCCAGAAAAGTTCAAAAGTCTTGTTTGGTGGAGGGCAAGGTGCTCATAAAGATTACTTCTCAGCAGTGTTTACCGTCTTAGAGCAGTGTAAGAAGTTCACAAACAATAGACAGTGGCCATGGGGTAAAAGAAAGCCTGCTAAAATGAAAGGGGTCCACAGTGTCTCACCAGAGCATTCTAGAAAGAGTGGCACCCCAGTCAGTTAACAGGTTCCTTAAAGGTCTCCAGGAGATGGGGGTGAAATAGAAATGTTTGCTAACCAATAGCATTTGTAAACATTGAAAGGTTTTTTTTTTTTTTCAAGAATGAAGAAAGACCATCAATGTAGGAATGCCTCCAGAGTTGTCATGAGAAGTTAAGGAATAATCAGTTTATTTTTTGTTAAAAGTATTAAAAGCAACCACCAATAAAGCAGGGAAAACCACTAACAGCTATATAAAGAACAGAAAGAAACATATTTAAACTTTATAACATGAAATCCTGGGTTGATTTTTGGCCAATGAGAGTGTAGGCAGCTAGACAAAGGTGAGTCTCAGCTTACTCACCTTGGTTACTTTCTGTTCTGGCTTTAAAACTCCGCTAAACCGAGGTTCCTGAAAACCAAAGAAATGTATGTAAAGGTCTTGAGCAAATATCTGTTAAATGAATGGAATATGTAAATGTTCTGTGGTTAATGAAATCTTGAATTTCATTGCCATGGTATTTCCTTAAAGTTCTTCAGTGTCTTACAATGCCGCGTTGCTGGTTAACCTAGTTGTAGAAACCGCAGACGGTGCTTATTTTAGGGCAAAGGAGAGCAAAGGACATACAGTAGTGGCAGAGGTATTTGATGCAGGAGAAAAACTATTGCATAATTGCACGTGCTGTGCAAGAGTGGCATGCATAGCTGAATCGGGCAGGCAAAGGAAACTTGCCTGTGACAGAATTCAGAGCAGCTACCAAATCAAGAGGCCTGGTGCACAGACCTTCAATTCTGGAGAGTGTAGATTGGACCACATACTGAATTCAAGGCCATCCATCGCAACTACTAACACTCTGTCTACAATACAACAAAGTTAAATTAACAGTTTTTCTGGCTTTTTTTAGTAAAGAGACTTGGTGTGATGGCTCAGATGTTAAGTTAGTGCTCTTGCAGAGGACCAAGGTTCAATTCCCAGTACCATGGTGGCTCACAACTGTGTATAACTAAGTCCCAGGGGCTCAAATGCCCTCCTCTGACATCTAGCACCAGTCAGGCGCACACATACATATATAAGTACATACATCCTGGCAGGCAGAACACTCATGCATAAAGCAGAGTAGGCCTTTAAGAAATGAGGTCATGGCCTCAAGAATAGTTTGTGCTGTTGTTTTTCAGTAGATAACCATGGTCTGATGTGTAACCCTGTGCTATGTTTACTTAAAGATACTTAATTTCGAGGTAAGTCTCGTATACAATCAGAATTAGTGGACGGAAACGTCAATAGACGTCTCAGAAAGTCAGCACTGCTGGAGTTCACAGTGGGGATGACCGATAAGGTGAGTCCTGCGTACTTTGGGGAACATTCCACCAGGTAAGTGAAGGGGCAGCCTTGTTAGTCTAATGTAGCATGCATAGGTACAGTAAATTGATGGGTTTTATTCTTGACAATTTGACCTTTGTATACTAGTCTTAATATGAGGAGTCACCAAATACCTAACATTTTTTGAAAAATATTAAGAAAAAAATGAATGTGTTAGTGCCAGCTGAGTGAATCCATTCACTGATGATTGACACACAGTCCTGGTTTTCTTGTTTATTTATGGTTGGGTACCTCTTTCTGTTGTAGAACTGCTTGACTTCTTTAAAATGATGGAATGTTAAGAAATCAAAAACCCTAAATAGCACATTTTATTCATCTTAAAGACACTCAGTTCTTCATTTTTAAAACTTGCTGTAACATTTTAAATACAGGTTTGTCTCCAGAAGGATGCCATTCACAAGGAATTTTCAGTTTTGTATAAGGCTATTACTTTGATTTCATTTGGTTTGTAAAAAAAAAAAAAAATGAAGGGACAGCAATACATTTAGAAGCCATATAATTCAACTGTAAATTACAGGGTTCTTACACCCGGTTCTGGGTAATG